CTTTAATGCACCCTTCCCCCAGCGAGCCCCTTTAATAGACCCTCTCCCCAACGTACTCCATTAACTGTCCCCCAATAAACCCCGTTAATACACTCTCTGTCCCATGCACCCCGATAATGGTCTCTCCCCCCTTCAATGCATCCTCTCTTCAATGCACCCCAATAATGCACCATCTCCGGTGAACCCCTTTAGTGCACCCTCGCCCCAGTGCACCCCCTTAACGCACCCTTGCCCCAACGAACCCCTTTAATGCACCCTCTCTGCAATGCACCCCATTAACACACCTCCCCAATCTGCCCCCCCGAAATCAGCACCACCCATCTCCTGCAATGCCAACGAACGCTCTGCCCCAGTGCAGGGACTGGCGGGGCAGCAGGGGGGAACGGTACCCACAGGGCAGCCCTCAGCCCCCTGCTTTCCCCCCGTCGCCGCGTTCCCCCCCATTTCAGCGCTCAGCCGACCGGAGCAGCTGTTCCCTGCACACTTCACTTGCCCGCAGATGATGATAAATGGAGCTGGGGCTGCACCGCCCATTGCGTGGGGGTGGGTGGATGAGGGGCGAGAGGAGGAGGAGGAGGAGGGATGGGGTCCCCATCTCCTGCAGCCCCCCCAGATCACGCTGCTCCTCCTATCCAGCTGCTTGGGAATTCCCTGGGCAGGTCCCCCCTGCCACATCCCACCCCAAACCCCGCTCCTGGTGGGGGGGACGACCTGCCCAGGGAATTCCCATCGCAATGGGGTGAACCCCATCAAGAGATCAATGCCCCATCTGGGGGCACGGTCCTTCCTCCCTGCCCCCCTGCCCCGGCTCTGCTCCTCCCCAGCGAGGAATTTTACTCGAGAAAAAAAAACATCGCCTGCGAACCGCACTCATGACTCAACGTTTCTGCTGGCCCCGGTTTCTCCGTTGCTTGCCAGGGGAAGCCCGTGGCCTCCCCAACCTCATCCCCTCACATGGAAATCCGGCTCATCCGCCAGCTCCATCCTCTCCCCTCTTGGTTTTTCCTCCTTTACTTTGGTAGGGGGGTGGGTGGGTTTGAGTCCCTGATGTCAGGGCTGGGAGGTTTGCAGAGGGTTGGGCTGGGGAGGATGGGGGCAGGCTCTGAAGAGTCAGAGCAAGTTGCTGTGTTTTTTCTTGCTGCTGGAAAATGCCAGCTGGCAAGAAAAGATTTGAAAAGGAAGGGAAGAAAAAAAAAAAAAGGAAAAAGAAGGCTGGAGGCTCACAGCAAAGCAGATGCTCAGTCTGAGCCTTCCTGGGCAAATTCCCTCTCTCGGGGAAGTGCTCTGGAGCAAAATTCATCGCCGGACGTAACATGGAGGGAGGGCGCTGCGTGTTCTCGCTCCCCAGCAAGGGGATTGACATCAACCTTGAGGCGCTGGCGGGGAGAGGAAAACCAGCCCGTCATGAGGCTGGAAATACGGCCGAGGTTAAGGAGGGACCCAGCTCTCCCACCCTCCACACCTAAATCCTGCTGCAGACCTGCCTGCGGCTGCTGGCGTGGGCAGAGAGCGGCAAGGACGGGCAAAATGAGCCATGCCGGGGGCACCGATGGGCACCGCCATGGCCATGGGGCGACTGTGGGGTGGCCGTGGGGTGGCCACTTACCACCACGGTGACCTTCAGCCAACTCTTCAGCCTCAAAACAAGCCAGCAGCACAGTGCCAGCACGGTGCCAGCATGAAGCGACAGTGTGTCCGGGTCTCGGCACGCTCCCGTTTTTCATCTTTACTAATTTTCTGCCTGACAGGTCGGGATCCTTCTTCCTTCCTCCCTTCCTTCCTCCCCTCAGCCTGACTCACTTCAATTCCAATAATAATTAACCATTCCAACCATTACTGCAGCTGCTAATATTACCCCTGCTCCCTCTCCCACGTCCCGTTTTGCCCCCTGCCTCAGTTTCCCCCCGAAGTAGGACAGAAACTGCATCCCCATGAGGAAAGGGGCGGGGAGCAGAGCAATGGGAGCGATGCTGGCAGCCGCCGGCGGTGAGGAACCGCTGCTCTGCACTCTCCAGATGCGGCCCCTCGGCTGTGCTGCCCAGGCCCGACGCCGGCTGGTCACCTGCAATATTTCGTGCGCCGCTCGTATGCAAATCGCCGGTGAGATTCTCCCAGCCGAGCTGCCTCCCAGCCGTCGCTCATTGGCACGGCTGCCGGACAAGCTGTTTCGCTGAAACTATATAAGCAAGATGCTGGTTCGTCACCGGGAGAGAAATGGGTGCTGGACCCCTGAAGTGCTGCTGGACCCCCCCTTGCTGGGCGAGGAAAGCTGGATGCCCCATGGCATCCTCCTCAGTGATGCTGAGGATGCAGCTGGCTGCGGTCCCGGCCCTGTGGGGTTCATGCTGCTTGCAATAGAAATAAAAGCAAATAAAAGCTCTCACAAGGATGGGAGAGTGAATGGATCCTCATCCTGGTCCCAGATTCACTCTGCATGCGGCTGTCTCGCGAGCTCACGGATGCTGCAGGCAGATGCAGTCGAACGTGCGAAGCTGTGCTCCCTGGGCAACACCATGGGGATGGCTAGGGTCCCCACCCTGCACTGGCCCATGGGCACATGCCAAGCCCTCCATCCTGGCAAAAACACACCAAACCTGGCAGCAGGACCTGGCACCCACCCAGCACTGCAGCTCAGAGCCAGCCTGCGCCCTGCACAGAAAACCTAGCCGGGATGGGACAGAGACCACTCTCCAGCTGTGCCTCAGTTTCCCCACCTCAGGGTGGTCTGGGTTTTTGTTGGTGGTCCCGGTCTCAGCCAGCACCGCTGGGCTGGGAAATGCTAAACTGGGAGGATGGGGATGGAGCAGGCTCGTGTCCCAGCCCCATGCCAGGGTCCTGGACCTCCTCTCCCAGCAGGTGCCTCCACCCCCAGCAGCCTGGAGACCTAGAGAGTGACGGGTGGCCATCACCCCCAGGACATTTCCAGCTCTCTCAAACATCCCACTGGGTCCATCTCCTCCGGGGTTGGTGGGTCCGGCTCTGCCCTGGCCACCACCTGTTTTTCTACCGGGAAAACTTTCAGCAAATTCATGCTGCAGCAACCAAAACCAGGAGACACTTGGCTGCTGCAGGACGGCTGCCAATGGGCAAAGGACAGACCCTGGCTGTGCCCTGACCCCCTCCCACACTCCTGCTCTCTCTCAGGAGGTGACGGGGCTTTGCCACTGTTGTTTTCATGTCCCCACGACGCTGACAGGGACATTTATGCCATGTTTTAAATGAGTGTTACTAAATATTACTGGTGGTCCCAGTCCCGTTGAGAACCCCCCACTGGGACTCGTGGTTACAGGGGGCATTACTCCATCCCCCATTTGCCTTCTTGTGGCCTGATTTCTCATCACCACCTGCCTTTGGTTTTGGGGCTCTGCCGTGCCAAATCACACCTCCCAAGCCACCATCACCCCACTGCTGGCACGGCAAACCAACCCCCCTCCACGGGTCACGGGCACCCCGCGGATGCTGCACTTCAGCGTCTGCCTGCAGACAGGTCTGTCCACCGGAGATGAATTCGGCTGTGCCGCTGCCAGGCTCTGCCCTCTAAGTCATCTCCCGCCAGCAGCAGACAGCTCGGTAATGAAGCGTAATGCTCTGACACTCCCCTGAGTGACAGTGGCCAGCACTGCCTGCATCCCGGCGGCTCGGCATGGCCTCCTCTGCCTGCCAGAGGGAGGAAAAAGAGGGGGAAAAATGAGCATCCCCTTGCCATGAGTGGGGCTGGGGGCTGCAGAGCAACACATCTCCCCAAGCCAGCATGGTGGGAGCCAGCACCCCCCAGCTGGACCTTTGCTAGGGGATGTTCAACAGGAATCCCCTGGGAAAAAGGAAAAATAAGAATAAAAAGTGAGTTGGAAAAAATATATCGAGATTAAAAAAACAGAATGAAAGGGAGTTGGAAAAACTAAATCGAGGTTCAATGTCGTGTGATAAATTATTTTGGTATTATACATTCCTGTCTCCAAATCCCAAAGACAAATACTGGGGCAGGTGAGCGGGGGAAGCAGATTTCCAAAGGCCTTCTCCTGGTTCCTGGTTATTGACTCTGTCAATCACCATGGGCGCCATCCCAACCTTTCACACCCGCAAAATCTGCTCCTTTTGTTCCTGCTGAA